CTCATTAACTCTTTGACCACCGGTCAAACCAATTTAGACTTTCACCAAAGTCAAACCACTTAACATTTAATGCCTATGACGGAGATAGCCTCAATCCGTAATACCGAAGATAGCCTCAATTCGGTGGAGGTAGGATCCCTCGGGCGATAGCCTCAAACCCAAGATCACAGACCCTCGTGCGCACGTCTTAACCTCACTGACCAGGCCCTGCAGCCGCCCGAGCAATGGCCAGTTTCTATGTTCGACATAATAAACCCATTGACCTTAATCACCGATTAGAACTAATTAATTAACTTAACTAATTCATTAAAGTCTTGGGTTTAACCATTCGGTCAAACCTACGTCGACAGAATATCCAGTTAAGGCCTAAGTTAAACGTGATCTAACCCAAGTCAAAGTCAAACCTGTTCAGTCAATTCACAAACCTCAACAATTCAATTCAAATAATCAATTTAATTCAATTAACTAATTTAGCCAAATTATAGCATAAACACATATAACGATCCAAACCATTAAATCTGTTCTAAATGCTATTAACTTCATAGTACGGACCTGGATTACGCCGAAATCGAATCGATAGCTCGAACGGAAGACAAATCAAAGAAATCAAACGAACGGGTCAAATTGAGTCAAAATGCGAAATCGACCAATCAATCCGGCGTGGAGGTTAATCTGCCGGCGATATCAACTCGGGGCAGCGGCTGGATGTGGCGACGGTGACGGACGCCGGCGACAGTGGCGGAGCGGTAACTCGACGGCGATGAGCAGCGACTAGCGGCGCTGCAATTCGTCGGCGAGGAAGGACGCCAGCAGTGGAGGCGACGTCCGGCAGAACGACGAAGTGAACCATCGTCGGCGGCGCTGATGCTGATGGCGGACCTCTGGCGAAGGAAGCGGTGGCGGCGACTGGCTGGGGAAGGGTGACCGGCGCTGGCAGTGGAGGCGACGTCCAGTGGCGAGGCGCGGCGGCGCTGGACTCGACGGCGATGATTGCGTCTGGCGGCTGCAAGTCGACGGCGATGATGGCTGTTGAAGACGAAGAAGAAAGAAGAAGAAGAAGAAGAAGAAGAAGAAGAAGAAGAAGAAGAAGAAGAAGAAGAAGAACGAAAGAAGAAGAAAGATAAGGATCGTGTGGCTGAAATTTAGGTTTAGGTTTATTTAATGGTCCCATTCCAAAAAGGATTGGGCTTCGGACCCAAAATACCCGATTAAATGGTCATAACATGAGCTCCATAACTCCGATTCGCGAGCCTTCTGAACCGACGCGATCACAAAAATATTTCCTACGAGATGACATAAAAGTTGGGCTTAGAATCCAAATTATAATTTTAACCCCTTTTTGGGCCCAATCCGTAATCAATTGCTCTAACAATTTAATTAATTCTTTTGGGCCAGATTTCGGGGCGTTACATTTCTCCCCCCCTTAAAAAGAATTTCGTCCTCGAAATTACCTGAGTCATTGGTCGTCGAAGAGATGAGGGTACTGAGTTCGCATAGATTCTTCGGTCTCCCAGGTTGCTTCTTCCACCGCATGGTTACGCCATAGTACCTTTACCAAAGGTACCGTCTTATTTCTTAGTACTTTAGTTTTGCGCGCCAAGATCTTAACTGGTTCTTCTTCGTAAGACAAACTCTCATCGAGGGTTACAACATTGGTCGGCAACACATGAGTCGGATCTGAACGGTATCTACGTAGCATGGAGACATGAAAGACGTCGTGAATCCTGTTCAACTCTGGTGGCAACTCTAACCTGTAAGCAACAGGTCCTATTCGCTCCAGAATGCGGTAGGGTCCAATGAATCTAGGGCTAAGCTTCCCTTTCTTCCCGAACCGTAGGACCTTCTTCCAAGGTGAAACCTTCAAGAATACCATGTCACCAACATTGTACTCTATGTCTCGTCTCTTCAAGTCTGCATAAGATTTCTGTCTGTCCGAAGCAGTGCGGAGTCGGTCTCTGATCACACGAACCTTCTCCTCGGTTTCCTGCACAATATCTGGTCCCTCGAGCTTACGCTCGCTAAGCTCTGTCCAACAAATCGGGGTTCGGCACTTTCTGCCGTAGAGTGCCTCATA